AGGTGGTGAAGTCCCCTACACAAAGATGAGGTAGACCTGCTTCTGTGCACCAGTACTGAATTCTGATTTTATACCTAGGAGTTGGGTAGCTCCCCAGTGAGGAGGCGGTGCACGTAGAGTTACATCGGGTTCTAAATTTAATTCAGTTAAATCACGAAATGCGTGAGCCTTCACTGTTGTGATGAATTTTTAATGTAACTTGAGCACGCCTTCTAGAATTTTGTGTTTTCTCTGAAGCCTGCACATTTTTAAGTGAAACATTATTCTCTAGAATTTGCTAGTGTTTGACCAGTTTTAATAGATAGTAGAACACCGTCCAGACCTAGGTTAAGTTTTTTATGTGATGCTTCAGGCAATTTTGATTATGCAACTTGCATCCCAGGCACCAGAGGTATAATGCTAGACATTATCTATAAAGAGTAGTCATTATGACTGTTGGACTTCTCTATAATGGTAGCTATTTCACTAGAAAACCCAGTTTTATTGATACTATTTAATGGTGAATCATATTTGCTTAGATTGAGGTTCTGTGCCTCAGTTGACTGATTAGTGTTGACTGGTGTTTCTGGTAACACTGAAATGGAAAAAAAAAATTTGCACTCTAATTTGATTCTTGTTTCCTATAAATGCAGTGGACGTCTCTACCACTTTTCTTTCATTTGCCCTTGAAACCAAGTGAGACAACGCATAGAAAGTGTTTTGTTGAGTTTCCGACTGTTGGTTTTGGCTCAGGTCATGATCTCAGGGTTGTGGGATTGAGCCTCTAGTGGGGCCCCCCCCGCTCAGCAGGGAGTCCGCTTGGATTCTCTCCCTCTCCCTCCACTCCTTCCCTGCTCATGCGCATGCGCTCTCTCATAAATAAAATCTTTTAAAAACAAATTGCTTTGTACAGAATATGATACTTTTCTTGTGTCATTACTGGTCTTAAGAAATGCAGTAGCAAGAACACCTTTAGCAGCAGCATCCTTGCGGGTTCATTCTGGCTGTAGAGCTAATTTGGTTGCATGACCTTGGGCAGATGACTTCACGTCTCTGGTCCTTGGGTATCTGTAAGATGAGAGGCGTGGATGGGGACGTCGGGGTCTTCCAGCAGAAGGTGGTAAGAGCATCTGTTTTGCAGCGCAGGCGTGGCACGGGCCTGAGAGTAAGTATACCGAGTGGGTCCTCCTGTCAGCGGCTGAGAACACAGTTAAAGATGAATTTTTTTAATTTTTATTTTTGTGTGTGTGAGAACCTTGATGTAGAAGGTAACTGTTCTTTTCCTTCTGTTTCATTCAGTTTTCTTCATAACTGTGTGTGTATTTCTTTTCCTTATATACATGAAGTTTGTCCTGTCTTCCATTATGTTCTTTGTTGGCGTATCCATTTCACTTTCCTTGTGTTTCATTCCTGTATCTTTCTTGTTTAGACCAAGTGGAGCACGCAGCTGGCAGTAGCTTCTATGTAGGACCCTTCAGGAACCCGATGGTAAGTGCACACGTGTACTTACCAGGCTCCCAGCGGGCTCTGCCGGCCGGACCCATTCCCGAGGCCCCTCCTGCCTCACAGGCGCGAACAAGTCCCCACGCCCCTTTGTAAGAGTCCTTAGAGGTTGTTTTGGTTATAAGCTTGTTTTTGTCTTCTCTTTTAGTTTGATTACAAATAGAACAGAAACCAAGTATCAGGAAAAGAAATTTACTTATTTACAGAAATGTAGCAGGTTCCCCCACCTGTTACTCTGTTTACCACAGTATTTGGTTTTGTGGGTGACACCAAGCATGCGTAAGTGTGAGTCGGGACGCCCGGGCCCTAGTTTCTGTTCTCTCGTAGGCTCATTATTAGTCCCGCTGGGGCCTTGGCCTTCGTTTTCCTCTCAAAATAGCAGGTAGGACAGGTGGTTTCCATAGCGCCTTCATCTCTAGGCTTCGGTCCTACTGGAAAGTAAGTCAGCTGTTAGATGGTTCTGATTAAGACTGTGAGGATCATTTCACGTGTCTGGTAATCCCAGTCTCATGAATGAATGACAATTAGATTCACGATAGACTCATTTCCACGATAAACTAAGTCTGTTAGTGTTCACCAGAGGTACTTGGGCGTACATTTAAGTGTTCTGTTCTTTAATTTTTACAAGTGGTTTACTAGTGGGATTCAAAAACTTTTAAAATTCTTAAATATATAGACTGCAGAGCCCCATTTTATCTTTCGTGCCCTCTACTGTGTTGGTTCAGCCCAGTGGTTCTTAACCTGGGGAGGCCTCCCACCCCTACGCTGGACATTCGGCCGTGTCTGGAGACTTTGGCTTGTCACAGTTAAAAGTGGTGGTGCTACTGGCATCTAGTGGGTGGAGGTCAGGGATGCTGCTGAACGTCCTCCAGCTCATCGGACAGGCCCAGAACAGAGAAGATCATTTGCGGGACGCCCAGGCAGGCTGTGGCCCTCTCAGTAGGATGCACGGGTCCCTACTTCAAGTGGTTTCTCTTCATAGGGAATCAAGGTTTCCTGGTCTTGTTTTTTAAAGAGGGCACCTGGAGGTGGGGGGGGGGGGCGGTTATGCACTTCTCACCGATTAGGTTTGGAGAGGCCAAAAGTAGACATTGACGTTCAGTATCAGCTAGATGTTTTAATATTCTTTTAGGCCGGGAATAAAACTTAAAAGTAGTACTTTTTTGCCTTTTAGATAGTTGTGTGATTTCAGTCTGAATATGTATTAGTGAATGGTATTATTAAAGTTGTGCTGTTTTATTATAATATATATCTAGGAACTTCACTTATTTAATACTCTGTTTATATATATGGCCAGTTTTTTGTATGACCTGCTAACCAGCTTTGTAGGGCACTTGAGAGGCTGCAGAAAATCTTTGAATTGCTTTTGTAAGGGATTGTATTACAATAAATTGACATCTGTTTTTCTATTAAATTTCTCAGTGTGACTTGTTTTAATGTATGTAAGATGCGTAACAGGCAAAAGTGTACGCTATACCTCCATTTTTACTTATTTCAAAAGCTCAGACCTCTACAAAGTAGAAAGTAAGAGGTGAGAAAGGGCCATTCCTTGGGCTGTTTGGGGTACATGAGGTGGTACATGATGTCTTACAACACTTTTGTGTTTGTGATCCAGGGAAAAACTTTCCTGGATATAACTTTTGAATTAAGCATCCTGGAGCCCAGGAGTCCTTACATGGTCCTCAGCAGACATGGACTGCAGCATTAGGGCAACTCTGTTAGTTGCCCGTAATCATTTCCTACTTGCACCAGTGTTCGGATAGGGACTGGGCATCACACAGAGGGAAGGGCATCTGTCGTCGTGAGGATAAGAGAACTGGCTGGAAGTAGATGGAATCCAGACGTCCTGAAGCACAGCTGGATTCCTCAAGAACCTTGTCATCATCAGATTTAGGTTTAGTGCCCTTCAGTTGACAAAGGGAGAAGGAATTGCAAGAGGAAGTTGCTTCTTCCCCTGTGAAAAGGTGTTTTCAGGTCCTTGCCCTTTACAGAGGGGATTGGTTTATAATCCTTCCACCTGCAGGCTCTTGGCCTCTCTTCTTACCAGCAGGTGGTTCCAGTGAAGTGCCTGCTTGGGTCCTGAGTTCCATTTTAGATGCCTTTGGAAATGAGGGATGGACGTGTTATCGGGAAGTTATTTGAGCGAACTCTTAATAACATCATGGCAGAAGGCATCAAAGCATCTTCCCCCCGCCCCCCACGGACCGAAGACTGAGGAATTTAAAATAGTATTTTAGAATTTGCCTAAGACTGACAAATGGCCGATTATTGAGTATTTTGTATTTTCCCCCCCTTGTTTCATCTCTTAATTATTTGTCAAAATCTGGTGGTGCTTTTTTTAGGATTAGTATTTGCATCGTATTATAATTGATGTTTCCATTTTTAACCGTGATGAACTTCTCAGTGTTACTTGTGTGTCTCTCACCTCATTTTCATGTGTTGTCTCTGTTTTCGTTGCTCCTCTGTAGTGATGCTCTGTTACAGAGAATACCATTTTCCAGGAGCACTGAGTGGTTTCTAGTTTGTCAAGAGGCTTGTTCTCAAAGAGAAAGGACAGCTCTGCGAGGCATGATGGGGAGAGCATTGCAGGAGGAGAAGAAAGAAGTGTTCGGGGAGGATGAGGAGGGAACCTGCTCTGAATCTGAAAACTGAACAAGAGCTACCAGGAAAAAGAAAGTTGGAATTAAAAAAAAAAAATAGAGAAGAAGGGCCGCAAATTCTGGTTAAATCCCAGAGAGACTCAGCTTCCAGACCTTCAGTATTAGTACTTTTCTAGAGAATGGCTTATCCACATTGAATATCTTGGTGACCTGAGCTCCTTGTTCCAGCTTGTCAGAAACGCATTGCATTTTAGTCTTACCTTCTGAACTGTGGGATTGGCTGGAATGCAGTTAGTGTGTCCTGAATTCCATTCTTCCAGTTGTTAATGAAATCCTGAATTGTACTGGACCTGGAGTCGAGTCCCTGGGGACCCTCAGAATTCATGCGGGCTTGACAGTGAATTACTCGTAATTACTCTGCATTTGATATTTGAGCCACTGCGCATATGCATCCTTTGCAATTCAGCGGAGCCTGCTTCTGGTGTTTTGCTTTGACAGTTATGGATAAGCATGTCTTAACTAAAAGGGACCCAAGTTACACCGTCTTTTTTTCCCCAGTGTGCTTCTTACAAACAGTCAGACTTTGCCAGTCTTTATTACTTGTGTGGTATTGAAACTCGGCGTTAGTTGTCTCTCTCATTTTCCTCTGACATCAATATTTTTAACTTCTCTAGAATAGATGAGCTGTTAGTTTGATAGGGGAACTAACGCCCAAGAATACAGGGTTTATGGGTTTCTTTTTCTCTAACATGACTTAAAAGTATTCTTATTCATTGTCTGTTTCTTTCTTAACTGATATGATAATTGCCTAGAAATCTACAGTTTGCTGTCATTGGATTAGTAATTGTCTGTTTCAAGAATTCAGGGTAATAGTGAGTGAGTGAGTAAGTTAGTAAATAAATACATGTTGTGTTTTAGGGAAGAAAAAATCCCAGGAAAGTAAAAACAAAGCAAACAAAACCGAAGACCTACAGCTGAAGACAAGCGAGCCAGATTCTGCTTCTGCAAAGATGAGAGATTCTGCGGAAGGTAAGCTTGGAGGTTGGACTTGTATGATTTGGGTATGTATCACCAGTTACTGTAAATCTCCTTGGGATGCCCTTTTGAGACTTCACCCAAAAACTGGAAAGGGTTAACAGCAAATGACTACCGGAATTTAATACGGTGAACTGAGCCTTCCACATCTCACCTGCCCTTAAAAAGTATTATTAAAGACCTTCTTTGTTAAAAACGAAATTATTCCCTGGTTAAAATGAAATGAAACGTACTCTATGATTATATTTATAAATACTTTATAAAGTTCAGAACCATCAAAACAAATCTCTGGTGATAGAAGTCAGACTGGCAGGGACTTGAGAAGGCTTCTCGGACACTGGCACTAGTCCATCACCGAGCTGTGTGGGGGGTACAGCAGTGTATTTACTCTGTAAATGTTTTATCTAGCTATATACTTAACGATTTATATACTCAACATTGTTAGGTTTTGCACTTCAGTTAAAAATTTATTTGAAATATCAAACACCTTTGATTTTATATATCAGCATGAAAAGTGTGCAGAGTGAAGAGTGGTTTGTTTGTTTATTTATTTATTTATTTATTTATTTATTTATTTATTTGACAGAGAGATACAGCGAGAGAGGGAGCACAAGCAGGGGGAGTGGGAGAGGGAGAAGCAGGCCTCCCGCTGAGCAGGGAGCCCGATGCGGGGCTTGATCCCAGGACCCTGGGATCAGGACCTGAGCCGAAGGCAGACGGTTAATGACTGAGCCACCCAGGTGCCCCAAGAGTGGTTTTTTTTTTTTTTTTTTTTTTTTAAGATTTTATTTATTAGAGAGAGAGAGAGGGAGCATGATCAGGGGCAGGGGCAGAGGGAGAAGCAGACTCCCCGCTGAGCCAGGGACTCCACCGTGGGGCTGGATCCTAGGACCCTGGGATCATGCCCCTTGTATTTTGTTAGAAATTAAATTTCTATTTTATTTCCTCGTGTTACTCCACTCCAGATTTTCTTCTTTATCATCCCTTCTAAGGTTTGATATTCTAAGGCCCTCCATGATGTGAGAGTTCAGAGAGAGGCATGGATTGAAAGTTCATCAAAAAGGCAGATTGCTCTGTGCTCCTTGTAGTTGAATGACCATATTGAGACCGTTGATAATAGAAACGAGGGAGGCGTGCATTAATTCGTTATGTGGCAAATATATGCAGAGACTGGAGCTTTCTAAGAATTGTTTGTAGTGACCTAAACAGGCAGATTTCAAAATAGAGGCTTGTGACTCTTTCAAGAAACATTTGTAGAGGGAAAAAAAAAACCCAACAGAATATTTTGGATGCCTTCTAAAAAAGGGCGAAAGATTGATGTGATCTGAAGAGAAACCCCAGAGTATTTGGATGCCTTTTATAAACCACTTTATTAGCACTGTTTGCAGTGATGACATTCATAAAGGATTATAATTTCCTGTGGCATTTTATGAATCAAGAACAGACAGTTTGATTTCCTAGAGCCTTATAAAACTGAGTTCTGTATGCTGATACCAGATTGGCTAATTAAGACTTTTGTTTGAACAACAGCACAAATACTAAAGAACCTCAGTGCCTTTAGTGGCAGAATTAGAAAGGAAAATCTAACAGCCCTCTCTCTCCCCTTCAGTAATTGAAGTCAAGTTATTTATTCCTGATATAACATCAGGTCCTAGGAAGAAAAGTACCTAATATTTATCTGTTTGTGGAGTACCCGATCAAAGTGTGATTGGTTCCTTACAGGCTAGTTGTCGGCTTCTCCTGAATGTTCGGCATTGTCCTCAGCAAGTGGTCTGTGTACTGAGCAAAACGGTCCAGACCCTTCCTTGTGTTCCCCAAACCTTCCTTTATTTTTAAAACTCAACAGACCTCATCGAGTGTGTGGATACACGTTGGTGTGGACCTTACTAGTTAATTAATAGAGCTCTGAGTGTTTTGTTCCATATTACTTTGGACAGTTTTAAGTCTGGGATTGTTTACCGGTCACAGGGAAAGAAAATCTTTTTTTCCCCCCACAGTAACAGAAGCCACAGATTTTGGCTAAACATAGACTCTAAAATTTCTAAGCCTTCGAGATGTTCTTTTCATTTTCTGTTGTCTCATTTTGACTTTTTTAGCAAGCTGGGTCTTTGTTGAAAATGTATTTGGAAAGGGAGTTAGCTTCTACCACCATCAAATGACTGGTGTCCCAGTCTGTGGAGAACTCGTGGGGTTAATGAGATTTGTCTTAGGGGAGAGAAGGCTGGTCTGTTGGGGGAGAGGTAGTGGACAGACAGGTAAAAGTAAAGCCAGGGGCTGGGACTGAGCAGGCGGGCTTGCCACGGATACCTGGTGTTTGCAGAGCTGGGAATGGTTGGCCTTTTTAGCCCGTCCTCCCCACATCCAGGTGGTCACTGGGTCTGTTGACAGGTCTCTTCTCTTGACAGTGTGCCCACTCTTTTTTGTGTCCGTTGCTTCCTTCCATTCCCATCCATCCTCTCCCTTCTAATACCCCAGCCTTAGCACTGCTGCCTCCAGGGCTGTCCTCCTCCCAGTCCCGGAAGCTACATCGCAGCCAAATCTCCCAAACGGCACTCTCCTGCTTTAAAATACCTTAATGGAGCCCCACTTGCCCCCAGGTAAGTCCAGACTGATGTCTAGCGTGATACATGTTTTGATTCCTCCTGCTTGCTTTTCCTTTTCTGTCCTTGACCTTCAGGTTCAGTCCTTTCTCTAAGAAGCCTTCCTTCCCTGATGAAGAAAGTCGTTATTAGATGTTTCTCCCGAATCCTTCCGTAGCAGCCTGTACTTCCCCAAAGCATGGTCATTAATTCAGGACGGTCTTGTTGCTGCTTACTGGTACGTGGCCCCCGTTAAAAGTGAAGCTCTGCCAGGCTAAGGATCTTGACAGTCCTGTTCACGTAGTACTGGCATATAGTAAGTATTGGCCCAGTGAATGCAGAGCCAGCAGTCCGGGTAGCTCTGCTTCCTTTACAGAGCCTTTCTTAATGCATGTTTCATTTTCTTGAAAGGGGCCTAATTCAGCAGGGACTCAGGTGGTACTGTAGAGAAAGCAGCGCCGTGGATCATCCCTGTCAGCATTAAATGGGCTTGTGACAGGGCCTGTCTTAGAGTCCCTTGCTGTCCCTGTGATTCTTTCCAGCCACTTCTCCACTTCTCTGCTTTCCATGATAGCTTCACTCTAGCCTCCCCGTCTCCCTGCTCCGTCCATTCTCTTAGGAACTCCATTAGGCATTCGTCCGCCCTGCTCTGCTCAAACTGTTGTCAGCACCAGCACACCTCCACCTTGGTAAATCGGATGTTTAGCCCCCTGTCCTCCCTTAGCCACCCATTCATAGTTCCGGACACAGCCCATCGCTCCCTCCTTCTGAAACTTTCTTTACTCTTCTTGGCTCTCCGGATAACCTCACTGGCCATTCTTCTGACCTGTAAGTCCTGGAGTCATCTAGGGGACCGTCTGCCCGCCTCTTTTCTGTCTGCATTCATTCTCCAGGGGGCCTCTTGCGGTCCTGTGCTCCAAATACCACCTCTGGTTTGAGGACTTGTACGGTCTGGGCTCAGCCTCTTTGTTGAACTTGAGTCCTGTAGAACAAATGACTTCATATCTTTACTCAGGTGTCTGCGTGTCCAAAGTGACTCTCGATCCCCCCTCAACACACACACTCACCGGGGGCGGGGCGGGGGGGAGCTCAGACCTACTTTCCCCTCAGTCTTTCAGTAAATAGTCTTATTACGGTTGCTGTGGAATCCTCCTTGACTCTCTCCCTCTCTCCTGCCCACCACAGCCGGTCAGCAGTCTTGTCAGCGTTTTATCTTCAAAATATATCCAGTGTCTGACCACTTACCAGCACCTCGCCCTGCCTCCATCCTTGTCCACCTAGGGTTTTCCTTTTTTCAGTCCCTCCCCACCCCAGCCTTTCTGGCTTCTTGCTGTTTTTTTGAACACATCTAACATGATGTTGACTCAGCTCACGCGTCTGCTGTCTCCTCTGTCTGGTGGGCTTCCCTCGCCCAGACACTTGCATGACTCGTTTCCTTTAGGCCTCTGCACCACTGTCGTCGTACTAGTGAGCCCCTTCCCGACCACCTGTCTGCCATCTACCTCAGGTTGGGCTCAGGTGGGTTTCTTCTGGGTCTAGAGACTCAGAAGTCACTTCAGGTCTTTATTTCCTTCTTCAGATGCTGCTGAGTTCTTTTTTCTTTTTAGTAAGTTTTTATTTTAATTCCAGTATGGTTAACATACAGAGTTATATTGGTTTCCGGTGTACAATGTAGTGATTCAGTAGTTCTGTACGTTACTCTGCGCATGATGCTAAGTGTACTCTTAATCCCTGTCACCTGTTTCACCCATCCCCCCACTCTGGTAACCACCAGTTTGTTCTCTGTACTTAAGAGTCTGTTTCTTGGTTTGTCTTTTTTCCTCTTTTTTTCCCCTTTGCTCATTTGTTGTGTTTCTTAAACTTGACACGTGAGTGAGATCATATGGTATTTGTCTTTCTCTGACTGACTGAGTGACTTTGCTTAGCATTATACTCCAGCTCCATCCATGTTGTTGTTGCAGATGGTAAGATTTCATTCTTTTTTATGGCTGAATAATACCGTGTGTGTGTGTGTGTGTGTGTGTGTGTGTGTACCACATATTCTTTATCCATTCAACTATCGATGGACGCTTGGGCTGCTTCCAGAGTTTAGCCGTTGTAAATAATGCTGCAGTAAGCATAGGGGTGCATGTATCCTTTTGAATTAGTGTTTTTATATTTTTTGGGGGTAAATACCCAGTAGTGCGATTACTGGATCTTAGGGTGGTTCTGTTTTTGATTTTTTTTTGAGGCTGCACCAGTTTGCATTCCCACGAACAGTGCAGGAGGTTTGGAGGGTTCCTTTTTCTCCACAGCTCCTGAGTTCTTAATAATTTGATTAGGCTTGGAAAATGTCCTAGTTTCTAAAATATATAGTTTTGGTCAGGAAGGAGGGAAAGAATCATTCTATTCAAGACAGCCTATGAAGAACCTAACCTGGTAATGTGATTAGCAGTTTTCTAGTTTCAGTTTGGAATCATGAGGAATAGAATTCACAGCAAGACTCCTGATGCCCAGTATCAGTGGATACTGGATCCGAATCCAGTCCTGAATCCAGTATTGTGTCAATATCCAACACAGGTTTTTGGGTTTTTTTTTTTTTTTTAAGGTTTTATTTATTTATTTGAGAGAGAGAAAATGCAAGAGAGAGAACAAGCATGGGGAGGGGCAGAGGGAGAGGGACAAGCAGGGAGCCCAGTGTGGGGCTCGATCCTAGAACCCTGGGACCCTGACCTGAGCCTAAGGCAGATGCTTAACTGACTGAGCCACCTGGGCACCCCTCCAGCACAGTTTTAAGTACTACAGTTTCTGTCAACACAGTTGTATTTATATGCGCGTGACTGAACACAGATTCGAAGGTCCATGTGGCCACACTCTGTTCACACACGTATCCTCATTGTGCGGTGTGTGGCCCGGTGTGTAGCAGGCGCTCCGTAAATATTTGTTGAATAAGTGAACAAAATGGATTCCTATTCAGTATGGCTTTATAAATGGGAAGGTAGAGCTTTTTATTGCTGGTCACACTCTCCCATACGTATCTTCGATGGTAAGAGAAAATGGCTTGCATAGTAAGAATTGATCATGAAGTGGCTGGATTTTGTCCTCAAGCCTGTGCTTCTGCTTCCCTGTGCTTTCTAGGCCCCAAAGAAGAGGACGAGAAGGCGTCAGCCTCTGCAGTGGAGCAGACAGCCGTTCTCCAGGAGGCGGTCAGTCAGGACGCGCTTCCGGATCGCGTGGTCCCCCCCGCCGCCTGTGAGCCCCGCCCGGAACCAGACGGGAGGCCGGCAGCCATGACCTGTGAGGTGAATGAGGTGGAGGAAGAGGAGGAAGAGGAAGAGGAGGAAGAGGACGAGCTGGAGGAAGAGGGCGAGGAAGAAGCTGATATGCCAAATGAAAGTTCTGTGAAAGAGCCAGAGATACGATGTGATGAGAAGCCAGAAGATTTACTAGAAGAACCAAAACACGTGTCAAGAGAAACGCTTGCAGGCTCTCCGGAGGTTCCACCTGTTTCCAGAACTCCCAGAACGAAAGAAGAGGCCAATGGTGACATCTTTGAGACGTTTCTGTTTCCGTGTCAGCACTGTGAGAGGAAGTTCACGACCAAACAGGGGCTCGAGCGCCACACGCACATCCACATGTCCACAGTCAATCACGCTTTCAAGTGCAAGTACTGCGGGAAGGCGTTCGGCACGCAGATCAACAGGAGGCGGCACGAGCGGCGCCACGAGGCGGGGCTGAAGCGCAAGCCCGGGCCCGCGCTCCCGCCGCCCGACGAGCCGGCAGACGGCAGGGCCCCCGGAGACCGCGCCGCCGCCGCCGCCGCCGCCGCCGCCGCCCATGGCTCGCCGCCCTCCGGCCTCGGGCAGGACTCTCTGCTCTCGCACTCCGAGAAGGCGCCCCTGGAAGCGGTCAGTTCTTCTGTTGTAGAGGAGAACGGGGATGTTAAAGAGCTGCATCCGTGCAAATACTGTAAGAAGGTGTTTGGAACGCATACGAATATGAGACGGCATCAGCGTAGAGTGCACGAGCGCCATCTGCTCCCCAAGGGCGTGCGGCGGAAAGGGGGCCTCCTGGAGGAGCCGCGCCCCCCCGCGGAGCAGGCCCCGCCCGCCCAGAGTGTCTACGTGCCCAGCACGGAGCCAGAGGAGGACGGGGAGGCAGAGGACGTGTACATCATGGATATCTCCAGCAATATCTCGGAAAACCTAAAGTTCTATATTGATGGCAAAATTCAGACCAGCAGCAGCACGAGTAACTGTGACGTCATCGAGATGGAGTCCAGCTCGGCCGACTTGTATGGGATCAATTGTCTGCTTACTCCAGTTACGGTGGAGATCACCCAAAATGTAAAGACCACGCAGGCCGCGGTAGCAGATGATCTTCCTAAAGAGCCTTCCAGCGGCACGAACAGCGAGTCCAAGAAACGGAGAACCGCGAGTCCTCCCGCGCTACCCAAAATCAAAGCGGAGACGGAGCCTGAGCCCTCGGTGCCCTCGTGTTCCTTACTGCCTCTTAGCATATCCACGTCAGAGGCAGTGTCTTTCCACAAAGAGAAAAGTGTGTACTTGTCATCGAAGCTCAAACAACTTCTTCAGACCCAGGACAAGCTAACTCCTCCTGCAGGCATTTCAGCGACCGAAATTCCGAAGTTAGGGCCCGTTTGTGTGTCTGCTCCCGCATCCATGCTCCCCGTGACCTCGAGTCGTTTTAAGCGGCGGACCAGTTCTCCTCCCAGCTCCCCACAACACAGTCCTGCCCTTCGAGACTTTGGAAAGCAAAGCGAAGGCAAAGCAGCGTGGACTGATGGAGTTCTAGGTTCCAAAAAGCCCAAATTAGAAAGTCACAGCAACTCACCCGCGTGGAGTTTATCGGGGAGAGAGGAGAGAGAAGCTGTGAGCCCGCCATGCTTTGACGAATATAAAGTATCTAAGGAGTGGGCAGCCAGTTCTACTTTTAGCAACGTGTGCAACCAGCAGCCACTGGATTTGTCCAGTGGTGTCAAACAGAAGGCTGAGGGCACAGGCCGGACTCCGGTCCAGTGGGAATCTGTATTAGATCTCAGTGTGCATAAGAAGCCTTGTAGTGACTCTGAAGGCAAGGAGTTCAAAGAAAACCATCTGGTGCAGCCAGCCTGCAGTGCTGTAAAGAAAAAGAAACCAACTACCTGCATGCTGCAGAAGGTTCTTCTCAATGAGTACAATGGCCTTGACTTACCCGTAGAGAGCACTGCAGATGTGACCCGGAGCCCGAGTCCTTGTCAGTCCCTGGACCCCCAGCCGGACGCTGGCCTTGGCCCGGACGCCAGTTCATCGGCCCCTGTGGCTGAGTCCCCACCCGATGTCTCTCCTTCCTCGCCTGCCCTACAGACCTCGTCCCTTTCTTCTGGGCAGTTGCCTCCTCTCTTGATCCCAACACACCCCTCTTCCCCCCCAGCCTGTCCTCCCGTGTTGACTGTTGCCACACCTCCGCCTCCACTCCTTCCTACTGTCCCTCTTCCGGTCCCCTCTTCCGAGGCATCTCCCCGTCTGTGTCCCTCCCCGCTCTCGAATGCCACCGTGCAGTCCCCGCTTCCCATTCTCTCCCCTACAGTGTCTCCGTCACCATCTCCCATCCCTTCCGTGGAGCCGCTCACGTCTGCGGCTTCGCCCGGACCACCGACCCTTTCCTCGTCGTCTTCCTCGTCGTCTTCCTCGTCTTCTTCCTTCTCCTCTTCGTCTTCCTCCTCTTCCCCCTCGCCGCCACCGCTCTCAGCGGTCTCCTCTGTTGTTTCCTCCGGGGATAATCTGGAAGCTTCCCTGCCCATGATAACTTTCAAGCAGGAGGAACTAGAGAATGACGATCTGAAGCCCAGGGAAGAACTCCAGTCTGCAGTGGAACAGGAGATTGTTCAGGAAACATTCAACAAAAACTTCGTCTGCAATGTCTGTGAATCACCTTTTCTTTCCATTAAAGATCTAACCAAACATTTATCTGTCCATGCTGAAGAATGGCCCTTCAAATGTGAATTTTGTGTGCAGCTCTTTAAGGCGAAAACTGATCTGTCAGAACATCGCTTTTTGCTTCATGGAGTTGGGAATATCTTTGTGTGTTCAGTTTGTAAAAAAGAATTTGCTTTTTTGTGCAATTTGCAGCAGCACCAGCGAGATCTCCACCCAGACAAGGTGTGCACCCACCATGAGTTTGAAAGCGGCACCCTGAGGCCCCAGAACTTCACCGATCCCAGCAAGGCCCATAGAGAGCATATGCAGAGTTTGCCAGAAGATCCTTCGGAAGCATCGAAAGAGGAAGAAGAGCTAAATGATTCCTCCGAAGAGCTTTACACGACCATAAAAATCATGGCTTCTGGCATAAAGACGAAAGACCCCGATGTCCGACTGGGCCTCAATCAGCATTACCCGAGCTTTAAACCGCCCCCATTTCAGTACCATCACCGAAACCCCATGGGCATCGGTGTGACGGCCACAAATTTCACAACACACAACATCCCACAGACGTTCACCACTGCCATTCGCTGCACAAAGTGTGGGAAGGGTGTTGACAACATGCCGGAGTTACACAAACACATCCTGGCATGTGCTTCTGCCAGTGACAAGAAGAGGTATACCCCTAAGAAAAACCCAGTCCCCTTGAAACAGACTGTACAGCCCAAAAACGGTGTGGTGGTTCTAGAGAACTCCGGGAAGAACGCCTTCAGACGAATGGGACAGCCCAAAAGACTGAACTTCAGCGTCGAGCTCAGCAAGATGTCCTCGAACAAGCTCAAACTAAACGCACTGAAGAAAAAAAACCAGCTTGTCCAGAAAGCAATCCTTCAGAAGAACAAATCTGCGAAGCAGAAGGCCGACTTGAACGCCGCCTGTGAGCCGGCCTCACACATCTGCCCGCACTGCCGCAGGGAGTTCACATACGTCGGGAGCCTCAACAAGCACGCCGCCTTCAGCTGTCCCAAAAAACCGCGCTCTCCTGCCAGAAAAAATGTTGCCCACTCATCCAAGAAAGGCGGGCATGCTTCCCCTGCAGGGAGCGACAAAAACAGCAGCGGCCACCGGCGGCGCACGGCTGACGCGGAGATCAAGATGCAAAGCATGCAAGCTCCTCTGGGCAAGACCAGAGCGCGCAGCTCGGGCCCTGCTCCCGTGCCGCTGCCCTCCTCGTCCTTCAGGTCCAAGCAGAATGTCAAATTCGCGGCTTCGGTCAAGGCCAAAAAGCCAAGCTCCTCCTTAAGGAACTCGAGCCCGATGAGAATGGCGAGAATAACTCACGTCGAGGGGAAAAAGCCCAAAGCGGTGGCCAAGAACCATTCTGCCCAGCTCGCCGGCAAGACGCCCCGGGGCCTGCACGTGCGGGTGCAGAAGAGCAAGGCCGTCCTGCAGAGCAAAGCCGCTTTGGCCAGTAAGAAAAGAACAGACCGGTTCAATGTAAAGTCTCGAGAACGGAGTGGGGGGCCGGTCACCCGGAGCCTCCAGCTGGCGGCCGCTGCCGACCCGGGGGACGGCAGGAGGGAGGACAGCGGTGGCAAGCAGGAGCTGAAGGACTTCAGGTAAGCCGAGTCTTCCAGGGCCGGAGGAAGTCCGAGCTGATGAGCGCGGGGGGGAAAGACGGTTGGAAGAACACCATATTCTTGCCCAATGGCTATTTTTTCCTTTTTTCCTGTAGAATTTTGACATAAGCATTTAAAGGAAGTAGCTGTTGGTTCAGTTGGAGGCACGAAGAAGGGTCACGGCTTTGGCTGCCTCAGACCTGAATTCCCAGCTTTTGTGTCAGACCTAGGACTCACCGAGTGGTACCGTTTCTTTCTTAGGGCCGGTTGTGAATTGAATTTGAAACCATGAAAAAGCTCCCAAAAGTACCCTATTATGAAAAGATGAAATTCTCTCACACTTCCTTCATATCTTGGGTAATATCTCAGTGTCACTTTGTATTATTTCCGGATCATAGATCATTGCTCATAGTTACGGTTGGATCACCGAAGTTCGTTGAAACCACATTGCAATCTTGTTTAATATTTCTGTGACTGGAGCATAGTTATTAGTAATTGAGCATGCTTTTATTATTCATGCTTTCTTGTATTGTGTTGTAATTTGAAAAAGTTGCCTCACTGGTTAAAACAAACACCCGACACCGGACTCCCTTTTGAGATGCCTTATCCACCCACCACCCCCCCCAACCCGCTCCCGTCTCCAGACATAGGATAAGAAACAGGCCAGATTCTGAAGAAAGGCGAGGAGGGGGAGCGCTGAGAGCCTGCAGTGGGGGCAGAGCCTGGCGGGTCCCTTGGACAGGTGCGGCAGCCCAGGGCAGGTCGGCCCCATGTGTCAGCAGCGCCTTTGTTCCCCCACTGATGGCGGAAGAATTCATCTTAGGTTGGGGGTGATTTCACGGTTTTATTCTGTGTCCTCCCTGTATTAAGAACTGTTCTCAGTGACACATTAAAAACACAGGGCAGTAGTTAAATATGTCATACTGACTTTTCAGACTTTCCAAGTTAACTCAAGTAACCCAAATTGATGTTGCGTTCTCGGAATCCCTGTTGCCTGGATAATGCCTCCAGGTGAATCCTGTGTGAAATAGTCAACATCAGATAGAATTTCTGCAAAGTATTTTAAAATCTTTTCCTTTCAAGAGTGATGAGCTGCTCGGCTCTAGGCTTTCTTGGCTGTAACTTTCGGTGTCTGAAAACTCTTTGGTGTTTCAGGCGAACCGTTAGAATGAATTCTGGGGAGTGACTGCCATCTCGGAGAGGTCGCGACTCAGGGGCTGTTAGCGCTGCACAGTTGATGAGCGGAGGTCTTGGTGCTGGTGTGCCTTAAGTCGTGGCGAAAGAAAGATGTAGAGGAGGGTCATCGGCCAAGGCTGATCGGAATGATTTACCGTGGGAATGCAAGGGTCACATTTTTAAAAAGCGACTTTGGTTGAGTGAACGAAATGATCTGTCACGGTAGTTCCAGTTCAGCATCTGGTCTCTGGCCATGGCATATGCATAATACAGCATCTTGGAGCTTAGCCCTGGTGAAAATGCACACCTATTTATCAGCTGTTCACACTGCCTGCCTGTGGCAGTTTAACTGTGCACCTGTTTGTACCCAGTTCTGGAAGTTCCACAACAACAGGATGTTCTTGAACCGAGTTCTTTTCAGGGTTGAAGAACCAGAAAATGCCATCATTTTCACCGACTGTACTGAAAAACATCTCCCAGGTGGTTGATGTTTTAGAATGTACTGTGTGCATCCCTTTTTGTCTGCAGTGTTACCTGAAAGAATCCCTCATTTTGTACTGGATCCCAATTACACGATTCAAGGGTGAGGTTATGAAAAATTAAAGTACTATAAAGATAAACTCTCTTGAGTAACTATACATGTATGAAGTTCATTCACTTGGCCTCTTACTCATCCAGTGCTTTTTGACGAACCCTGAAAACTGCAAAGGACCAAAGTGCCTAATAAAATTGTGTCTCTCTTCTTTGCTCCAGTTAATCTTAATGATTTTGCTTTATTTGATAGTAAACAGGGGGTTCCATTGCTGGAATGGATTGGGCCTAAAAGGAAACACTCAAGAGTCTGATAAGAAAACATTGCCATTGTTTCTAACGGGTAGATGGTGGCAGCAGGCCTCCCTTCCCCGGTGGCAGGCGTCTCTGGCACTGTGTACCGTGGGCACGGCCGAATGAAGGACGTGTGTCCTACATGGGGGGGGGGGGGGGCTGCTTAGAGGTGACCACAAATTCGTGAAGTATTTTATTTTTGGGAAGTGAAAAAAAGAACACGTTCCATAGGACATCATCGTTTAATTATCTGGACACAAGAGTGGGCATTTCTTCCAAGAGTTTGGTGTGGTCTTCTTAGCACCTTGTTGTGCATTTGCTGTAAAACTGGGATTCCTAAGCTCCAGCCTCCGGAAGGTGGGGGGGCGGGGGGTGGTCATCACTGTTCAGCCCAGGGCTCTTAGAAAGCCGGCCTCATCCTCCCTCCGTGTTGGGTGTATTAACACTAGAGAGGAATGGTTTTAGCTGTAGTCTTCATCCCTTCACAGTATATTTCTGCTTGTAAATTTTATTTGGGGCTGATTTCATGGCGCATGTTTAGGAGAAGTTGCTTTGCCTTTTGTTTTTTCAGTGATTTCGCTTTACTTAGCCCGTTGCATATTCACAGACTGAAACCGAACTGGCCGCACATCGTTTTCCTGTGTGTCTCAGCCTGACAAACTGTGATTCAGAGCGAGTCCCCAGTACTCAGACATTTTAACATTTGAATGCCAGTTGAGGATTCCACAGTTTCTCAAGCCATGTGAATGAAGTCAGAGTTTCCCACTGAATGCTGAGGGCTCAGCAGAATTTGCCAGTTGGTCATTTCCTGGAGCACAAGACATTGTGCCAGTCGGGGTGTAACAAAGACCCGTGTTCCAAATCCTCCTCTTAGAACAGGGCAGCAGAGGACACCGGGCATACCGCCCATCTTTAGATTGTCCCGGGACAGCTGTCAACCCCAGCGGACCCTACCCTGTGTTGGGCTCACCTCACACGGTCAGTGGCCAGAGCCCACCTGCATGTTGTTGGACTGGAGTTAGATCTCTTGCTGAGGGCTCATTTCCACCTGCTGTAAGAGGGAGGAAAGACCAGGAAAGAGATAGCCATCTTTGGTCTTTGTAACTTTCAAGGTGTTCTTACCTTCTTTAATGCTTCTTTTAGAGCAACTTAACAAAATACCGTGTTGCCATTAAACACTTAAAGATGGAGCAACATGAAATAGACCATGTTTTCCTGTTGGCCACCGTGATGCTAAGTTTTCACATACCTGTCTCTGCCACACACCACTCCAAAGAGACCTGCTCGTGGTCCTTCCCAGCCTCTCTTGAGTAGGATACCCAAGTTCCTGTGCACCTTCAGAGTCCTCCTTTTGCTGTTGAACAGTCTATGCACCGTTCCGTCAACACAGGTCATGTCACGTGATGTTGCCATTCAGCTTCAGTTTCTATATTTTCTAGGAGCTTCCTGTATGTAGAAAAGCCCCCCAAACAAAGCAAACCTTAATTGACTAAATAAAGATATTGCATGCTCAACTTAGGATAAGCACTACGGCCAAGGACATGAGATCTACCACGCTTGCAAAACCAGTTGAAGCTGACTCAAAAATCCTCACACACGACTGACTGTGGGCAGGCTTCTTGCTGCCCTGGTTAGGGTCAGGTCTCCGTTGCTTTGCTGGAGCCCAGCACGTGCGCTGGGCTCCCAGGCGATCAGGGCACAAGGAGGAGGGCATGTCACCACGGCGCTGGGGGCTCAGATCTGAGCGCAGCCCTGGGTCTTGGCACACAGGAGAGAAAGGAATGATTGGAACTTAACCTTGCAGAGCAAGTTCTGGTTTATGAGTAGTACTCTGTAGATTTCAGGGATGACAGATTCTGATGCACTCATTCTAAAATGTTATGGTCACACACCAGCTCTTGATGCCTTTCTTTTAAATGAGTTATATACAGAGACGCATTTAGCTTCTCTCAGCTTGTTTTTTGTTTTTTTTGTTTTTTTTTAATCTATATCACAAGCAGATTGCCAGCATAATGGAGAGGAAACCGGATTGGATATGGATTTTTTTTTTTTTAATGCTTCTTCCAGTGTCATGTTCATATATCCAGATGGACGTTATCCTCTCAGATGATTATCTGGCACTAATTTATAACTATTATATTATCGGAGACTATGTAGCAATATATACGCAGCCAGGATGCACCCCAGGCCTCTACAGATGTTATGTCTACACGTAAGTATAAATGAATTTACATGCCAGGTTTTACACTTCCGTCTCTAAAAGAGCAAAAAACCCACAAATTGGCCTCGTCCTGAGTGGATGTGTAAGTGTTGTTTCTCTGCATTCTATGCCTTCCCCTTAATTGATGACTGAGTTGGTGGAAAATGGCTTGGTTTTATTCATGTTGTTTTTTGTTCTCAACTTTAAAAGTAATCTACCTCTGAAAATGTGTAGTTTGATGCTTGTTTGGTGAATTTGTGCCACTTTAACCCTTTCGCGACCATTCCCATTTTGTTACATTTCTGTTATGGGGACTTTTATGTTGAAATGTATAAAGCATTTGTAGCAGTTTAAAAATAAAATATTTAAAATTATTTAAATTGTTTTGGACACTTCAATTGTATTATATGTGATTTACATTTTACATTTTTGTTGGAGTTGTTAATCTGGAGAGTGTTTTTGTATTGAAGTTTGCTGTTAGTTATTTTATTCTTTCTTGTTGGAGAGTGATATAAAAGACTATTCTAATGAAAACATTAAAATTTACAATTTGACATACAAAAGGGGTTGTCCGTTGATTTTAACCAATGTAGCCTTGAGAGAGAGGGAGAGAGAGAAAGAGAGAGGGAGGGACGGGGGTTCATTACAGACAGGTATGCCCTTTGCTCTTCTTCCCCTTCTGGTATGAAAGAAATCATCGGAGCTTGTCAGATGTCTAAGAAGTGTTTTTATGCTATTGCTAGCAAGCACTTAATAACTAGAGGGAATTCAAGTGATACGCTTTATATAATTGTAACCAATAAAAACACTTTCTAAACCCTTGTGAAAGGATTGCTTTTGTACATCCTCCGGAGCAGTGAGGGAGGAAGAGGAAGGGGCTGCAGGAGCTGTCGGGGGCCGCCCTCGGTAGGAAGTGCGGCACATAGAGTCCACCCAGACCTCTCTTCGCTCGTTCCTATTTGGCATTCACCAAATGTGGGTTACACTGCTTATATCCCAATGAGAGGGTGGACATGCAATTGGGACAGTGGTGCTGAGAAGTACCTTGTGAACTTACTTTGCTAAGAGGGAAATAAAGAATTTCATGTGTGGGGTCTCGGCTTCCTCTGTGCTTGTTAACAGTTTACTTTGGGGACCTTTCTTTTTAAGAATCCCCGGAAGAAAAACCAGTTGTAACGTTTGTATTAAGCTTATATGGAATTGCTGTGTGTGTGTGTGTGTGTGTGTGTGTGTGTGTGTGTGTGTGTGTGAGAATTAAAAGCGATTGAATACAAGCAGTTGCATAATGTCTTCCACTGTAGCACTTGCTGTTCCCGTACTTTCTTCCTTTCTCTGCATGTTACTGCATCTGAGGGCACAGTGGTGAAGCAGAAGGTGTGATCAGCCTCCCTTGGCCAGATTGTCCCGTTCCGTCTCTGGCTTATGGTCCTTACTGTACTCCGCTGTTACAGAAACCCAGGGGGAGGAGGCAGGTGTGGAGGAGGTTGAGGGCTTGGTGGAGCTTCAGAACAGCTTTCAGAATGCCTTGTTTTAAATGTTTTGCTCAACTCTCCCAGTGCCCTGTTGACGAGTTGGGCCTTGTGCCTTGTGAGGTCGAGCACTGGGCCCGGAAGGAGAAGGGGGTTTCCATTGTGGCCCCGGTGCTCGCCATTCATCCATCCCTCCTCGTGCCATTGAACAGGCATCTGATGGGTGCCCTCTGTGTCCCTGCCATGGGTGGCTTCACCTTGGGCAAGTTCTTTTACTTTCTGGATCTCTGTTCCCAATCTGGTTAGCAGGGAATGGGCTAGATAGTCTTGAGTTTTCCTTCCAGAAGGAGGTCTTTTTTACTGGGTTTGGTTACTCACAGACTATCTCACTGGACTGAAGGGGCAGGGCCAGGTCTGGCTCCTTGGGACCCGGGTGCTGACAGCAGTGCCGGAGCCCAACAGGCACGCGGACATTGACTCAGTGGAAGAGTCCCCAAGAAGTCCAGTAACTCCCACCCCACCAGGAACAGGCTGCCCCCAGTCTGGTTGCTTTTCCTCTTCATGGAGTCATTTTAAAAAATTGAAAAGGCTAGTAATTGAAGCCTTATGTTTCTGCTCTTTTGAAGCACCTCTCACTGTTTCTGATTACAAACCCTCCTCTGGGCTGGCTGTTTTAATCTGGTTGGTTGAGGTGCTTCTGGCAAGGTGTTCTACAGAATCACATGAATTTATCGTGCGCCCACCATATATACCAGGCCTGTGTTCGGGTCCCTAGGTTACGTCAGTGGAACAAAATCCCGGCCCTCGTGGAACTTAACATTTTCTTGGTGGTCTCTCCTATTTATACTTCTATTGGAAACGTTGTCACACTGTCACAGTTCTCCAAAGGCTGGGTGGTCAAGAAGATGCCTCTGGCTTCTTTGAGGGTGGATATCTAGAGGACTGCCATCTTTTAATACTTACGTTAAAGTGACCATACTAAAATGATGGCTCATTTCCTGCATTTGATGCTTAGGTGGATTTTGATTTGCTATCAAACCTCCAAACGGATTGACTTATATCCATAAAGGAGTAAATGGTACTTGACCTTGAAAGTGGATTGCAGTGCAGGTGAGTGTGAGAGAAAGGCTGCCTTGGATACCAGGGCCACATTTAAAGACCCGGCTGGTGATTAGAGGAAGTGGGTTGCCATTAGTCATACTTTCGGAGACCCGGTGGCCTGTGGCCTCTTCCCTGCCTGGTGGCACCAGCCCTGCTGCTCCTCCTCGGGCATCTCATCTTTCAGTGACTGTCCTCCTAAAGCACCATTGAAGGGTGTATTCTAGAGCAGAGAGAGGGAGAGATCAAGTCGTCCTGAGAGACTGCAGGGCACCTGGCAGGGACTGGCATGCTGGTCGGGCAATAGGCAAGGCTGTCAGAAGACGAGCCACAGCCCTGCCCTCCCGTGCGGTGGCTCTCCGACAACCCAGAGAGGTGCTAAGCTACCAGCTCCAAAGTCCTACAACCAGCCATTTAAATTAGACCGTAGGCGGGGCCTGGGTAGCCTGTAGTTTTAAGCCCCAGGTAGTGTCCGTGCATGTTGCAGACTTCCTGGAATGAGGTGGGAGACATGACAACGAATGTGTGTGGCTCTGCATTGCTCAAGCACTTGTGTGTTCCCTGTGTGCCCCATTTTTCTGAAGGCGGGAGCGAAGGGTGACCTGGGAGGTGGGGAGTAAGGGACTATTCTGAAGCCAGGCTTGAACCCTGGGCTGTAGAAAAGCATGTGTATTTCATGGAAGAGGTGATAGGCCTTGAGGGGAACAGGAAGGTTGGCCGGTTGTGCAGTTTCTTAGCCAGTATTCTAAGGTCACAGCCCCTGTTGGGTCCCTCTGTCCGGGTGCCTGGACCTTTTTCTGGGAGTTTGCCTATAAGATGCAGGACCTTTAAGTACACAGTGCCAGGAGATAAAAGATAGTAGGCGCAAGGTCCAGGTTGGTGGGTATGATGACCTCCATATTACTGGTAAAATTCTTTTTAGACAAAATGAAAACTGTCAAAAAAAAAAGTTTGGA